TCACTCCAAGCACCCCCCCTCCCCACCCCGCTGTGCCTCAATTGGGCAGGCTCCTCCCGGCCCGGCTCTGCGGACAGCAGTTGAGTCCTAGGGGAGGGGGGAGCGAGCAATGGGGGCAGGGGTGGAGAGCGAGTGACGGGGGGGGCACACTACGGGGGGGGGGGCTCAAAGGAAGAGGTGGGGCAGGGCCTCGGGGAAGGGGCGGGGCAGGGGTGTTCGGTTTTCAGGGATTCGAAATTAGCAACGCCTCCAGCAGCGCCGGGGCCGAGCTGGGAGCCATGAACTCAGGGTTCCCTGCGAGGTGTTGGCCTTGCTCCAGCGCCCTCGAGAGGGTCACACGGCAACGCCCGGTCTCATCCGTGCAGGGTTTATTCCGGGCCTGTCACTGGGTATCTGAGCGCGTTCCCGAGGGCGGGAGGTGCCATGAGTAGCAGGAAGGGTGGCCCAGGGGTCAGGGTGGCAGCCCGGGACTCGGGAGGCCTGGGTTCAAATCCCTGCTCTGCCACAGACTCCCTGTGTGACCCTGGGCATGTCCCTCAGTGTCTCTGGGCTCCTGGCCCGACAGGGCTGCCAACTCCGGCCAGGCTCCCAGGGGACGAGGCTGAACCCAGTCAAGACAGGGAACTGCTCAGATACTGTGGTAATGGACCCGGGGCCAAGAACCTGTGAGTCACCCAACCCCCGACGGGACGGTCCACTCCTGCCCCTCCCAGGTAGCCCGGAGGGTGACACACAGCAGGGAATGGAGCCTCAAGGGGAGCAGCTGGGCATGAGACGGCATGACCAGGCCAGCACGTGCTGAGAGGTGGGAAACGGCTGCACGGGGCAGCCGCTGCCTCTGAAAGCCCTTCCAGTCGCCTTCGCGAGTGGCATCGTCAGCTGGTTCAAAGCCTCTCTGGCGGCTTCCCTGCACAATCAGCCCAGGAGGTGAGAGCTGGAGTTAATTTCCTGGCAATGCTTCCCGCTCCCCCCACCCATTGAAATTCAGGCTGGGATCTGCCCACCCCCCGGGTTACTTGACTCCAAACCCAGCTGCATCGAGGGCTGGAAAATCTCTTCCACTGAGATGGGCACCAGAGATCGATTGTTCTCGCCATCCCGCTGCGGCACGACGGACAGTCAGCGCTCGGAGCAGGCCTGGGGGTCAGGGCTCAGGCGCATCAGCAGAGCTGGGGGGCAGCACCGGGGGTGGGGCCGATGGGCAGGACAGAGCCCATGTGGCTCGGCACATAACTATACAATGGTATCGGTCTGGCGCAGGGGGGCCGCGGGTCGGGATTGAGGGGCACCGGCAGAGCAATTGTGGGGGAAGCGATCAATTGTATGAACACCACATTCACCCACCAGCAGGTGCCTGGCGAGTTTCCCGCACAGCATTGCTGGACAGGCACTCGCGGGCACTG